CTTTTTCTTCATCATAAAGTACAGAAAGTTTCAGGGGATTAGAGAAAGAAACTCCATCTTCTTAGATCCAATTCTACAAGCATGCACACATGTATATTTTTCTCTTATGAATGAATATGTGAAAATCAAGTATTCAAAGATCCATGCATATGCATAAAGTGTTTGGGAGTGTTTGGGTCATAAAGTTGGATCACAAATGAAAAGTTCTAACAAATTTCCCTAAAAAATATGCATATAAATCATTTAAATTTGTAATATATAGAATTTTTGTATACATGATTGTTTATTTATAAGAATTGTAGATTTTATATCACATATCTTATACTTAAAACTTCTATATAATACAAATTTATATGAATGTTTTAAAAGAGTGGGTTCGGACCTGAGGTCCCCAACCCACCCTATTGGCTCAACCTCTGTCATATCTGGGGGTGACCAACGTGCCTAAATATTTGAGTACCCCCTGATTAGACAACAGTCGTCAGAGGTTGGATTCAAACCCTATACCAAAGGGGACTTACAACGCTGAACCGAATGCTATACCAAATAACTTGGGAACGTGGTGTTATATATATAATTTTATATGTATATAAAGGATCTTTAAAATTTTCAATTTAGATGTGCTCATTCTTTGCGAAGTCATAAATATATTAACATCTATTAAAGCTTGTATTTGAATCATATTATTATGACAATTGTATAATCTTAAAGTGATTATCCAAGTTATCACTAATCAAACAATCCATATAATTATGAACCCAATGACTCAGAGCACATCACTCGTCGAAAACCACCTCAAAGAAAGAAGCAAATCATGGTTGAGTGCCTGAGGCCAAATGACCAATGTCGAGTGAACGAAGTCGAGTTTTTAAGGTTGAGTGCCCGAAGCTCGGGATACAAATGAGTGAAGTTGACTCGTGAGCAGGCTCGAGCTAGGCTTAATAAGTGGCTTGTGAATCGAGCTTGATGAGCTAACAATCCAAGCTCAAGCTTGCTCCGACTTGACTTGTTAGCCTGTGGGCTCGCAAGTTTTAAAAAATATATAATAATATACAATAAACTCAAAATTATTTAATTAGAAAACTTGATCCTTAAAGTACTACATAATGTTTAAGAAAAAATATTTCATTTTATGTATTAATAAATTTCTTAATTTTTCTCTTCTAATTACTCATTCTATTTGTTTTTTTATTATAATACTACCTTAAATTAATATATATATATTTTATAACAAACAAGCGCCGACTTTCCAGAGGGTTGGCTCTTAGGCGCTAGGGGGCTGGCACCTACTTTCCAAACTCTTGGTTTGGAGAACCTGGGAGCTATTCTGGGTTCCTATGTGCCCGGGGCTGGTGCCTAAACGTTGGTCTAGCCTTGAAAATCCTACTTTTCACCCAAGACGTACGTTGAAGAATTTTTTTTGATCCATAAAGTATGAGAGAGTGCATATGACTAAAATATAGTCACATAACCTCAAAGATAGACATTTTTATAGGCATTACATCAAAGATTTAGGTGTTGATGGGAACCTTAAATTAATATATATATATATTTTTTCTTTTATAACAAACAAGCCCCGACTTTTCAGAAGGCTGGCTCTTAGGCGCTAGGGGGCTGGCACCTACTTTCCAAACTCTTGGTTTGGAGAACCTGGGAGCTATTCTGGGTTCCTATGTGCCCGGGGCTGGTGCCTAAACGTTGGTCTAGCCTTGAAAATCCTACTTTTCACCCAAGACGTACGTTGAAGAATTTTTTTTGATCCATAAAGTATGAGAGAGTGCTTATGACTAAAATATAGTCACATAACCTCAAAGATAGACATTTTTATAGGCATTACATCAAAGATTTAGGTGTTGATGGGAACCCCAGGTACAATGTTTTAAACCCCAATCTTCCCGGAATGCCCACAAGAAGCTTTGATGAGTTTCTTTGACCTTATAAGGCCCCAGATGTATGGAATGTGGTCTCCAAACATTAGAATGGCCATTAAACATGCTCTATATCGTAACTGATGCTATCCTACGATAGTCTCTCTCGAGCAAGGCTGAATCATCACAGATCCAAGCTTTGTGCCCCAAACACGCACCCGGGTGGGATCTAGATGGATGTTTTGAGCTACAAGGCACTATAAATAAATAGTGAATTCTCCTGAGTCATTCAAGCGGACATCCTACATGTGTGAAGCCCAAAATTGATGCCAACATTCATTCATCGCTACGACCTCCGGATAGTGATCACAACTGACAAGGCGACACTATTCGCTGACCAAGGAGTAAAATATTTTTGTTGAAGCCAGTATATTAACATAAAATTCAACTTAGCCCATCATCCGCGAACTAGCGGGCAAGTCGAAGCTAGGAAGAAGTTAATCCTTAACCTACTAATAAAGAACGTTAAGGGGACAAAAGAAAAATGGGCTGATTTTCTCCCATATGCCCTTTTGGCGCTCAATACCATTTCCTCAGTCACAATTGGGTAAAATTCTTTTTTACTCTTGCATGGAATGTTGGTGTTATTACTTGTCGAATACATCTCACACAATCAAAGAGTGGTGGCCACCTTGACATGCAAGGAAAAATGCTTGAATGAATGGCAAAACATGAATGATGGAGCTCGCACTTGACATACTAGAAGAAGAAGTACCAAAACAACCCTTGAACAAGAAGAAATAAAAAGGAGAGTGATGCACTATTATGATCCACACTTAAGAGAAAGGTCTTTCAAAGATGGGGCCCAGCCTTGAAAAAATGCAACTGGTCGTTCATCATTAGCAAGCGACTCACCCATAATGCCTACAAACTACAAAAGTTCACTGTCAAGGAAGTGCACCACACATGGAGCAGTGATGATTTAAAACTTTCTACCCTTAAAAATTTATGTAAACTGCTCACCCACCGGTTGCTTTAGCCGACAAATTCTCATATCTATTTTATATGATAAAAAACTCATATATCCAAATTGTTCAGATTGTAAAAAGGGTGCAACACATACTAGAAAAGTAGATTACTACTCCTCGAGAAAACCTATACGCCCCATGCAACATAAAGAAGCTCACAATAAGGCCCAAAAAAGAGCCAAAAGCCCTTGGTGAAGAATAGTTCTCATCAGATAGTAACAATCATTCAATAACATAATACAACATATAAAACAACATGACCTCATCTAATTGTTTTTATACCAAGAAAACATTAAATGACCTAATTCTCACCCCTACTTGAATATTGCAGATATGTGTTTGAACTCGAGGAACTCGATGTCGGGGAACAGACCCGCTCACAATGACAACTTGACTCGTTGATGATAACTTAAATGAGAGATCAGGTTGAAGGCTCACAAGAAGTAGGAGGGCGCAGTATAACTCAGATGATTCACCTCCAAAAGAGGCTCCAGCAATAACAACATTTGAATATCAGACCACACGAACAATTATAAATACATGTAAAGAAATTATTGTTGTGAAAAACTTCCATGAGCATGTTAACAAGAGCATGCATGAATAAAATTTTTTTATTTTATTTTATAAGTATAATAATCACATTTACAAACATCAGCCTAAATAAAAAACAAACTTTTTCCATATGATGTTTTCTCCAGTCTCCCAGGCGAGTTCTACAAAGGCTGTTCCGTTGCATCATGAGACTTATCCTGTTGAATCAGATGACCACTATTTAAGGACCAAAAACACCTTGAGCTAGTGACACAGTTCGACTTAGAAGAAAGAATCACGTGCTCGGACAGTTAAGGCTGTAAAAAAAACATGTTATTTGCAACTGATATCCTGTTCGTAGAATAACTTATGTTTTATTCTTTTGTTAAAAATCGAGCCGAAAATGATGATTTTCTTTGAGCTCGATTTATAAATGAGCCGAACACCAACAAATGTTTGTCCGATCGCGTTTGATTCTTCTTTGTTCAAAATAACTAAATAATTAAATAATAATATTTATTCAAATTATTTTTTATATGTATTAAAAATGCTAAACATTATTATTTTTGCTTTATAAATATATAAAATATTAGTTGTTAGATGTGTAAATAAATAGGATGTGGGAGGTATGCATGTAAAGTTCTGTAAACTAGAGCACTCGTCCCTTCCTCTGATTTAGGAATTATACATGAAAATACATACGAGTCTAGTGGTATTTAGTGTAAATGTTGTATAATACATACGAGTCTAGTGGTATTTAGTGGTATTATACATGTAAATGTTGCGAGGCCTTGCATAAAGATATTTAACGTAAATTTATATCAGGTGTCCAATTAAAATTAATCACGTGTTAGAATGAGTCTCATATTTTTAAAAAACAACCGATTAGTATATTTAAGTGGGTTCCACAGCCTTTTGGTGCTGAGACTGTTTATGAAAATAGATAAAAATTGGGTGGTATGTGTGTAAATGGTCTCCAAAAGGCCAATAACCATAATCCCACCTTTGCCAGGATCACGCAGACATTCATTTTTATCTTTAGTCCCACTTCTAATCTATTAGAAGAAACTCTGGCTATAAATTATATTTAAGTGAAGAAAAAGAAGAAAAAATTTATTATTTTAAAACTTATAACAAATCATGATAATTGATGGATAAATACATTGATAATTGCTTGGTAAGTTTTTACTAATTTAAATTTACATCCGATTTAATTACTTGATAATAGAAAGGAAGATTTACAAGTATACCATTCAATTATCACATATTTACATATTTGATATCTGCCCTATTTATGCATGTAAATTTGGTAAATTTATAAGTATTAGATATGCAAATACATAAGAATTGGGTGACATTTATGTACATGCCCCCAATAGAAAATTATTTTGAATATAAATAAAATTAATATTGCATACATAAAGCTTATGAAAATATAAATATTATTTTAAAAATCATTTTTTAATTGAAATTAATCAAAAAAGACTACAACGAATATTTCGGTATTTGCCCGAAACATATATCGGTTTCGGAGACGCTGCCGTATTAAAGTACGACTTCGGTACTTCTGCTCTCTACTATTCCCATTTTGGTCAATCGGATCCAAATCTCGATCCATTTGCTTCTCGGTTGATCGCGGCGGCGACGATGGGAGTTCCGGCGTTCTACCGTTGGCTCGCCGATCGTTATCCTTTGGCAATTGTGGATGTGATTGAGGAGGAGCCGACGGAGGGCCCTGGCGGCGAGCCTGTATCTGTCGATCCCTCCGCGCCGAATCCTAACGGGATCGAGTTTGACAATCTCTACCTCGACATGAATGGCATTATCCATCCTTGTTTCCACCCGGATGGCAGGGTTAGTTTTTTTTTTTTTTTCTCTTTTAATGTCACCTCCTTATTTAATCTGCTAAGAATTAGGATTCTTGGAGTAAAGAACTCTGAGGGTGGAGTTTCAGTGTAGATTGTGTATATGTTGTGATTTTTTCTTTTAGCATGCTGAGTTTGGTGATGGGGAGGATGACTACGCTTTTGGTTGCAATGCTGGGTAGAAATTGAAGCAAAATAAAAATTAAAAATTCCATCTGGTAATTCTTTCTACATATGTTGCAGTTTGGAAACAGTAGGCTGTATTGATGTCCGCGTTTCTATTTTTATTTGCAGCTGATGTGGTTTTTCACTAAATTTGGACTAGCTGTTTGTTTAGCAGAATTTGTGTGTAAGAGCTTGCTTATTAGTTCCAGTTCTTGCCTTAATGACTGAATTAAATTACATTCTAGAGCACTTCAGGGGTTAATACTCTTGCATTTCTGGTTAATTTACAGGGTTGCTGGCTTTTGGCTAATGAACAGTCATCTTCTTCTTGGGGGTGTTTGGTTGCCTATAAGATTTAGGTTAAATAGGATTTAGCAAATATGATAAATCCGCATCAATCAAATCCAAATGCTGTAAATCCAGAATAATGTTTGGTTCAATTGAAGGTTAAATCCATTCAATTCGTTTATACTTTATTCCTAAGATAAATCTGCTAAATCCACATAATAATCAGATTTAATAAATCCTGATTTACATTAAAAAAAGTAGCGGAAGGAAAGAAAAATTTTATTTAGTGAAGTATGGTTTTAATTTGTTCGATTTTTTTTGTCTGGCTAGATTTACGTAAAATATTACTTAAATCCTGCTCAAATCTGGCTAGGCAGTTACCAAATGTCCCCTAATGTTTGTTTTGTTCCTGGTGGGTAGGGGTGGGGATGGGGCTGATATCTTTGGGAATTTGACGGATGTTTTTATTTTCCACTTCAAGTAATGGTGGATTCTGAGCTGTTTAAGCAGTTCAAAGCATGAAATAAGGCATGCTGTCAGGAAAAGGTGCAGGCAGAATAAGTTTTGTTCAGATGAAATGGTTATCATTTGCTCGCCTTCTTATACTTATATGATATGAGAATCATGTTAATAACTTTTCTTCAAGATAAATCTTCAATAAGAAAAAAAAAGTTCAAATCAGATTTGGATATTTGTATAAAACTCTCATAGTTTGATATTTTGATGAAGATGAACAATGATTTCAAAATTTTACAGACAAGGATAATAGTTTAGCCTGTTTTAGCAAAAAAGACAATTAAACCTGACTCTATGTAAGGGTTTCTTTTGAAAACTTGGAAGTTCTTGCAGGATTTCTTTTAAATTATGGCATCGCAATTACCGTTTTTTTTAAATTACGGCAGCACTATTTTATGGTCTAATTATTAAAAAGAAATTATAGGTTTTAATATCTGGAGTTCCAGTTTTTTGAAAACCTTTAGTGTAATTGTTATTCCCTATTAGCAAATGCTTATACCATAGTGTTCGTCATTGCAGTATATGTTTTAGGTTTTATTGGCGAATGTTTTTTCTCATTCCATCTATTGAGCCATGTTAAAGGTAATTTTTTTTTTGCAGTCTCCACCTGCAACCTATGATGATGTTTTCAAGTCAATTTTTTATTATATTGATCATCTCTTTGGATTAGTCCGCCCAAGAAAACTTTTGTATATGGCAATAGGTAAGATTCTTTGGATATTGATGCCATCATGACAAAATTTTTCTTTTCTTAGCTGATTTTATCTGCACATTCAATGCCTGAATATTGCAGATGGTGTTGCCCCCAGGGCTAAAATGAATCAGCAGCGAACCCGACGTTTTAGGGCTGCGAAGGATGCAGCTGAAGCTGTAAGTATCTGGTAGCCCCTTTCACGAGCATTATGATAGATTTCTTATCAGGGCATTTACATACATAGCACCCAATTCTTATGTATTTATGTATATCACACCAAAACTTTCATATTTATGCACATAGTTCTCAAATATTTGTCAAATCAAATTAGCATTCTTATCACCCTTTTCAACTTCTTAGAAGTGAAATACATCTTTTCATGCTTCGGTTTAAAGCAACATAGTGCTATGTGTGTAAATATGCAAGTTTAAGCGTGATTTATGTAAATACATAAGAACTGTGTGCTGCCTATGTAAAGTTACCTTTCTTACTTGCATTTATACCCATTTATATCGGTGTTAATTTTTTCACAGGCATCTGAAGAGGAAAAGCTGAGGCAGGAATTTGAAGAAGGAAAACTGTTGTCTCTGACGGATAAGCGAGAGACATCTGATTCAAATGTCATAACTCCCGGGACTGAATTTATGGCTAAACTTTCTGTTGCACTTCAACATTACATTCAAATGAAATTGAAACAAAGTCATGGGTGGAGGTCTGTTAAGGTGTGGACATAAGTGAACTTAGGATAATGAGTTTCCCACTCACAGATTCTACCATTGCTTGTATTTGTACATTATTTTTGTGTTCATGATGCCTCTCTCTCTCTCTCTCTACACATGCACACATGTATGTATTCATTGCTCTATTATTTGAAGGTAATGTTATCTGATGCAAATGTGCCTGGCGAGGGTGAACACAAAATAATGTCCTACATACGGTTGCAACGTAACCTTCCTGGTTTCGATCCAAATACAAGGCATTGTCTGTATGGCTTGGTATGTAGCATTCTACAACTTTTATCTCAGCTTTTAGCTTCAATGGATATTTTTATCACCCTCTGTAATCTCCCATGCATGCTTATGAATTTAAAGTTTTAACAGGATGCAGACTTGATTATGCTATCTTTGGCTACTCATGAGATTCATTTCTATATTCTGAGAGAGGTGGGCAAATATCATTAATTACTTGGAAGATTACATACATACCTCTCCATTTCTATATATTACGCATAACTTCTAAACTTCAATTTTTACATACCTTCCACCTTACCCATGCATGAAATGGTTTATTTAACTTCTTATAGGTTTAAATAGTGCTATTTTTGATATGATGGGGGGTTTAAATGTAAAAAGTAAAGTTTAAATGTTAAATATGTAAAGAAGTAGGAATTGGGTGTAAACGCCCCTAATTACTTTTTTGGCAGATGATTGATTATTCTTTTTTAGCAAATGATTTTAGCTTCTGATTGTTGATTTAACTACTAACCATTTGAATAGATGGTGACACTGCCAGGGCATCAGGGGAAATGTTTTTTGTGCGGTCAGGTTGGGCATCTTGCCGCTGATTGTAGAAGCAAGTCTAGTGAAAATGCTTCGGGTGATGATGGAAAAGCTCTAGATGAAACCCCAATTTACAAAAAGAAGTATCAGGTATGGATTTATTTTATTAATAACCTTTTCTATTTGTAATTTTGATTGACTGGTATAGTTCTTGTTTATTGATTAATGTTTTATTTGTAGTTCCTTAACATTTGGATCTTGCGAGAATATCTGGAGTACGATTTGCAGATAACAGATCCGCCATTCAGAATTAGCTTTGAACGGCTTGTAGACGATTTCGTGTTTATGTGCTTTTTTGTTGGAAATGATTTTCTCCCGCATATGCCGACATTAGAAATCCGCGAGGTTTGTAGTAGGTCGGCCTTATGCCGTTAATTTGTTAAACTTGCACTGCATTTTTAAAATTTACAAACATTAAACCATTTAATTTTGGGAATATTTTTTTTGGGTGGTTTTATTCATTTGAGGTAACTTTGTATGGTATGCTTCAGGGGGCAATTAACCTACTCATGTTTGTGTATAAGAGGGAGTTTGCAGCGATGGGCGGCTATCTAACAAATGCTGGTGATGTAATTTTTCTCTGCTTGTGCTTAGCTGAGATTTTGTTTTCTTTGTATATTTCTTCTTGAATTTCGTATCAATTTTATTTTTTTTCTCTTTGTTTTCATTTAATTGTTTCTTGGAAAATATCCTCGAATTTTGGGAGCACGTCAATCCAATTTTTATTCATTTTATATAGGTTTTACTGGAGAGAGTGGAGCATTTTATTCAGTCAGTTGCTGTCTATGAAGAACAAATATTTAGGAAACGTGCTCGTATTCAACAGGTAATCGACTTTCCCGTTGTCACTATGATATTTAGAAGAATTTCTTTTATGCAGATTTGGTTGTTTTTTTTCAATTTATATTCTTCTCTTTTCCAATGAATTTTCAAATTAACCTCTAAGAAGTATTTTCTCATGTGAGGTAATGAAGTTCTATTTTATTCATGGTTCTCTAATCCACAAGTTATCCTTTACTAACCGATTTATTTCAAAAGGATGTTTTACTGCAAGAGTTTTTTTATTTTTTGTATTTTTTTTTTATTGCAAGGATCAATAGTTGATTGGCAACAAGTCTATGATAAATTGTATGACGGTTACAGTTTTATATTTCTACCCATGTGTACAGACACTTCTAATAAAGGAGTCGTACCATATCGGATATGCATCGGACATGGACACGACTATGTCCTTGTTGGATACGGCTTAGAAGAGTCCGATTTAAATAATATTTTAAAAAAGAGGACACGTGTCAGACACATATATCCTAAATTAATGAATTAAAAATTTCAAAAAAAATATTTTTATAACTAAAAAATGATATATATTTTTTATGTAAAATTTAATGAAGATTTACATACATATCACTCAATATGTATGTATTCACGTATCCAACACTTAAATTTAAATTTTTATATAAATGACACCTTACATATATACATATGAAAATGCACATTTCACTTTTTATAATTGAAAATAGTGGTATATTAGATGTGATATGAAGATTTGGGTGGTGTAAATGTATAAATCAAAATTTATGTGTTAGATATGAAAATACATAGGAATTTAGAGCCAAATAAGCCCGTGATCATTTTATTTTTTTTTAATGAATGATTGATTTAGGAGACTTGATTCTTGTTATAATTGAAGATAAAACATGTTTATTTTTTGTATGTCATAAACTAAATAATTATCTATGAACATCTTAGGTGTTATTTGGGATTACTTTTATTTTTAATTTTATTTTTTATTTTAATGTTTTTATTTAAATTAAAATATATATTTAGAGGCTAATGTTATTAAAAGTCTTAAGGGCTATAATTTTATCAACAACATCAACTTTTAAAGTGAAAGAATTTTATTGGAGGAGATTTAAATAGAAATATTGTTAGAGTGGTAGAATATTTTAGAAATATTTATGATGGCTATGATTTTGGAGTGTTTAATGAAGAAGACAGAACCAAATTAGATTTTGCTGTAGCGTATGACTTTGTTGTTACTAATAATTTAGTTAAGAAAAGAGATGAAACTTATAAGAATGAATCTATTAAAACACATTGATTATTTTTTATGAGAAAAAAAATTTCATCGAGAGTGTAAAGATTGTAAGGTTATTCTAAGTGAAAATTTAAGTATTCAATATCGATTATTAATTTTAGATTTGAAGATGAAAAGTTGTAAGATAAAAATACAAGAAAAGATTGTCGTAAAGTTAGATGGGGGCTCCTAAGAGACATATAAAATTATTTTTATGAGTAAACTTCATGATTTAAAGATTTGGGATGTTCATGAAGAAACAAAAATAAAGTAACAAACACTTTTAAACAAGTGCCAAAATATGTATTTTAAGGATCAAAAGGAAAAAAATATCAGTAAAAATAGTTGAACTGGAATAATAAACTGCAAGAAAAGTTAAAATATATTGTGTTATAAAAATTAGTTTAATTATAAAAGTTTAAAGAACTGAGAAAAATATAAAGTGACTTGTAGGGAGTTTGAAGAATAATTTGTGACACTAAAAAATCTACTTTTAATGATCTTTATAGTAGATTAGATATTAATGAGGGTGAAAAATATATGTATAAATTATCCAAACAAAAATAAAAGAAAATTAAAGTGTTAAGTCAAGTAAAGTGTATTAAAGATGAAATTAAAAAAACAAATTTCTTTAGGGAAGATATTCAACATAGGTGAGTGAGTTATTTTGATAAACTTTTCAATGAAGTTTCTAAAAATACGATCAACCTCAGTGATCTTAATATCGTTAATAATAGTAAAACATTTTATTTTTACCGTCACATTAGTGAAAAATAAGTTGAGGCTTTAAAAAAAATCATGGGTAAAAAATCAGGAGGACCTGATGACATCCCAATTGAAGTGTGAAAATATGTAAGAGATTTGGGAGTTTCTAAGCTTACTAAACTCTTGAATGTTATTTTCAAAATTAAAAAGACGCTTGAGTGGAGGAAGTGTATTTTGGTCTTCATTTTTCAGAATAAAGGGATGTACAATAGTATGCATATTATAGAAGATATAAGTTGATGTTTTATACTTTAATATCATGTGAGAGGGTAATTGAACATAGGTTAAGACGTGTTACAAAAATTTCTCATAACAGTTTGAATTTATGTCAGACAGGTCTACTATGGAAGCTATATATTTATTGAGAGGTTTGATGGAGAAGTACAGAGAGAAGAAGGATCTACATATGATTTTATTGAGTTAGAAAAAATTTATGATAATGTTCAAGAGAAGTCCTTTGGGAGTTCTAGAGAAAAAAAAAAGTGTTGATAAGAATTATATTCAAGTCATTAAAGATATGTATACTAGATTTGTTACTTGTGTTCGAATAGGAGGATTGACCACTTATTTTTCTATTTTAGTTGGATTACATCAGGGATCGACTTTAAGCCCATATTTTTTTCTTTAGTTGTTGATGCTCTTAATGGATATTTATAGAATGATGTACCTTGGTGTATGCTTTTTGATGGTGATATCCTTCTTGTGGATGACTCTATAGAAAGCGTTCCAGAAAAAAAAAAAACTTGAATTATGGAGGTGTACATTGGAGTCTAAAGGCCTTCGTTTGAGTAGATATAAAACCGAATACATGGAATGTAATTTTAGTAGTAGTAACTCTAGTGATTGAGTTGTTACTATGAGTGATCAAATCATTAAAAAGGTGCGTTTTTTTTTATAGCTCGGGTCTGCACTGATATAGATCTGGATGTTATTAGTAGAATTCAAGTTGGATGGTTGAAGTAGAGGAATGCATTGGGCCTATTGTGTGATGGAAAATTACCTCTTAGACGGAAAGGAAAATTTTATAAGATAGTGGTGAGACTATAATGCTCTATGGCACATAATGTTGGCCTTTAAAAGAGAAGCATAAATCAAAGTTTTGTGTGGCTGAGATAAGAATGCTTAGGTGGATGAGTGGCTTGACAATTAGAGACAAAATGGAAAATGAATATATTCGTGATATGGCTAGTGTAGCTTTAGCGACAAACAAGATTAGAGAGAGTCCTTTTATATGGTTTGGTCACATTAAACGTCGATCATCTGATGATCCTGATAGGAGATTAGATGTTTTAGATTCAACTTCTATTAAGAAAGACAGTGTTTGACCTACAAAAACTTGGGTAATTGTATAAAAAGGATCTCATTCTGTTAGAATTAAATGAAAATATGATACTCAATATAACGCAATTGAAAATAAGGATTCATGTAGTCAACCCCACTTTGTGGGATGAAGGCTTATTGTTGTATTATTTTTAATATTTTATTAATTTAATTTATATGTATATATATTAATAATTTTTATTATAGTGTATCCGACGTGTCCTATCTTATATTTTCGATAATAGATATATCCCGTTTTAGTATCCATACAACATAGATTTCTATAGACAATGGATGACATATGGAACTATGCCCATAATATAGTATTGCATTATTATAGTAGCAAAACAATTATTGGGGGTGCGAAGTCTTTTGGCACTGATGAAGTATTAAGGCCATGGATTCATGTTCAGCTTTTAGGTTTCTCTAGAATTTTATTTTAAATAATAATTATTGGAGGAATTAGTAGAGGTATGCAATGATATGAATTATTGTGTAAAATCTTCTTTAAATTGTAAATTTGGTTTCCATCTTTGTGCTTGTATTAGATCTGGATAGGAAAGAGAATGAGATTCTCAGTACCTCGGCTTTTGTATATTTTTGTGCTTATGTGGACCAAAATAGCCAAAGTGGTGAATATCAAAGATGTATAAAATTGAGTCAAGAATAACCAATACTTCAAATTGTTCAATTTTGATAAGAGACAAAAGTGATGTACTCAAAATATTGAGAGGTGATCAAAAGAATTTATCGTGTTTGGAATTATATGAAAGAGGGCATAATTAAACTATGGATTGAAAATTAAGGAGAGGAATAAAAAAATTACGTCAAACGTATTTATCATCCTGAAGACAATATATTTTGAAATATAGTAATTAAAACATGCAAAATAAATGTGAAGAAAATTCTCAATCACATTTAATTTGAGATAACAAATTAAAATTCTAACAAGCAAATTCAAAATAAATGCAATTAAATAATTAAAATGAATCATCCTGCAAAATGTGGTTAGTCAAGCCCATTTGGATGGGAATTTTGATGTAATTTGATGCTAAACTATCTCATCTTTTGAAAATTCTTGGAATCCCTTAGAAGATTCTTATGGCCTTGCCTTGGGAAGCTTTTGGAAACTTCTAGGACTTTATAGAATTTTGACAATTTATAAAAAATTCTAGACTCTAATTGGTTTATTTTTTGAAGTTGGAGAGTCTCCTTAATTCACGCTTTTCCTTTTAGTCATTTAATTTTGCAAATTCCATAAATCATAACATAATGATGAAACATGTGTGATCAATACTTGGCTAATGATATTGACATGGATTACAACAGAAACACAACTATCATTCATCCATGCAGATAGCTTGTCTATTTGTTTTGATAATCTCATATAAAGGTATCTTATATTGATAGAACCGATTTGATTCTCTCTTTTTTTTTTGACATATATGTATTAGGGTTAATCACAAGTTTATCAACAATAAATGAAGTTAAGGCTAATGTATTATCTTGCATAAATAAGTTAGTACAAACATAATCCTTTTTTTTCTAGTTCTTTTATTATCTTGTGGTTCACTCTTGTACTCTGTGGTGTCGTGGACTCTTGTACGATTATACAAACTATTAGACTCATGTTCAGCTCGAATCGAACCCGGGTTGAGCCTGAT